AGTTTCAATGTTTGCACCACAATCTTCAATTATTTTTTTTCAAAATTTCTAACACTTGCACACACTTGCGGATAAATAATAAATAACACCAGTCAATCATCACCTACTACCCAGACATCTATAATAAATGCTGAGTGTGTCAAGTCCTTCCTTCTCCCTTCCTTTCATCATCACTACAGATTTTAGAACTGTAAAAATACACACCTCATGTGCTTTTTACTTTCATTGCATTTACTTGTTGTTAAAAAACGGATGGATTTGTTTATATAACAATAAAAATTACAGTAGGATAAAAAAAAACTAAATTAAAATCTTGTAGAATTTTGCCAGGGGATGTAATTTTAAAAGAAATTCAACTCATGCTAATAAAAAATGTGAATGCCATTTTTACAGACGTGTTTAGGACATTATTGTAAGAATATTATAATTTTTAATTAGCATGGATTGGTAAAATGCACTGTAGGTAAAACACGAATTTTTAAAATACTGCCTTTTGTTTATTTTATGGATAGGTTGTGGTATTGTAATAACAAATTTAGAATTGTTTATTTTTCACATGTTTTTCGCATGTTTCGCCTATATCCAAGCTTCAGTGACTTAGATAATACTGAGAGAGCCACCTAATACAAAGGCTAACGTGTATAAATTCTTTTGCTAAATTCCCATCAGTTGATTTTTTTTGTCCTGTCTGTATTTTCATTAGCATTTGTTTACTTATTGTTTTTCCTTTCATTTCACACACACACACACACAGAGACATACACACACTACACACACACACAAACACACACACATATATATGGTGACAGGACAAATGATCTCAGGACAAATGATCTCAGACAAAATATCTCAGACAAAATATCTCACGGACAAATGATCTCAGGACAAATGATCTCAAGACAAATGATCTCAAGGACAAATGATCTCACGGACAAAAGATACCAGGACAAAATATATCAGGACAAATGATACCACGGACAATTGATCTCAGACAAAATATCTCAGACAAAATATCTCACACCTAAATTTTAATAGTGTATTGGGTGACTTTAGTTGATCTGAACAATTTTTATTAGCTGTTGTATGGTTTTGTTTAATATGTTTAATATTGTTTATAGGCCCATATGATAATTGTAAGAAATGTTTGCCGTATAAATTTATCATATTGCACTTTTAAAATTAGGATTATTACTATAGAAGATTAAAGAAATTGTTCGATAGACAGCGTAGGCGGGCTTGCCAAACATGAGACAATCCAACCATGTCAGGTGGACGAAACTAGATCAAAGAGGATGAAATAACAAAAGAGAAACACCTTCGTATCAAGGTGGCAGCCCGCTTTGATGGTAGAGACATGCCTTAAGGGAAAGACATCCGCCCTCCATGAACAATACAACTATTAGCTAAAGTCAATAGTTATGCGTCGTTCACACCTTAGTGATCAGGTGACAAATGCTTATTTAAGACAAACAGCGGTCATCGCGGAGTTAGAAAATGTCGAGCAAGAGTTCACAAAATACATGATCACCTAGTATTGGAGAGGTGTGATCATGTACTGTCAGCAAAGAAACGTAAACGTTATGTTTGTGTTGATCATGCAATAAAAACAATAATTTTACGTTACGAACCTAGAGATCCATTAACATTTTTGAAAGATATTTCGCATGTTTTAAACATTATTGTTGTATAGCTACCGTTACTTTGTTTTATACATTATCATTTATCATACCTTTCAGGCTAAAGGAGAAAGTTTGTTTTAATTTTTATCTTTTCAAATCAAAGGCCATTACAAATATTAAGTTAAATAAAATAAATCTTTTGATGGTTTGTTAAGTTTAACAAATTCATTTTATTCACAATTATTATGCATAAAGAAAGTAAATAAAACCATATTGATAGTCAATTAAAAAAAAAGTTCAAATGAACTAAAATCATTGTACATACTATCAACATTTTGCTGTGAAATATTTTGTCTGAGATATTTTGTCTGAGATCATTTGTCCATGATATCATTTGTCCTGATATATTTTGTCCTGGTATCTTTTGTCCTTGAGATCATTTGTCCTTGAGATCATTTGTCATGAGATCATTTGTCCTGAGATCATTTGTCCGTGAGATATTTTGTCTGAGATCATTTGTCCTGAGATCATTTGTCATGGAACCCATATATATATATATATATATATATATATATATATATATATATATATATATATATATATATATATATATATATATATATATATATATATATATATATATATATATATATATATATATATATATATAGACATGGGGCCCCCAAGAAATTTCAGCCGGGGGCCCCGCCTAGCCTTAATCCGCCCCTGGGGGGAGGAGGCTTTAGCCCACCCCCTGGCAACACTTCCTGTATATATATATATATATATATATATATATATATATATATATATATATATATATATATATATATATATATATATATATATATATATATATATATATATCTTACGTGCGTCTG